TGAGTTTAATGACTTTATAGATAGTACAGATTCATAAAGTGTAACTATAAAACTGTAGTATTTTGAGGGCGACATATTATATATATTTTCTGCTGCACTGATTTATCTACTCTTTGCAAAGACGTGAATCGTAAGTAACTCTCTGCAAAGACGTGAATTGTAAGTAAGTAAGTTTTTCACATATATTTCGATGATATTTTCTTATCAATATTTCTTAATAAATTCACTAATTATTATTTTATTTAATCTTACGACTGAAACATAATAATAACATGATTTGGAAATAGAGAAGAGTGTTTGAGGAACAACACATATTGTATCTTAAGGATTACTTTCCTACAAAGAAGTAGAAACTATTATTCTTAAAAATGATTGTTAAAATCACCTTATCCACAACAATTACATTACAACTCTCTACATATAACAATTTAAAGATAATATTATTTTTGAATGGATATGGAAAAGTCGGAACAAGGATAATAATTGATTTTCCCTTTTGTACAACACCTGCTAAAGAACAGAAAAGTGGAAAGGATCTGTGGCAAGTCAAGATACAAATTAATTCTCGGAGGTTGGAGCATAATGAAAAACACAGGATCACAGTTCTGAGCCACCCCTTATGCAAGGCGTTGTTCGTTGTAGAGATCTCCTGCAACTTCGCAATTGCCCAGCAGATTAAAGGAATACAACAAAGATGCTATTATCAATTTTGAGAATGGAATTGAGTGTCTCAAATCATGGGTTTTGTTCGTTTCTTTTGAATTATTGTTGACTTTAATTATCTTAATTAATTTCGTTCTTGCTTGATTATTTAAAGTTATTTAATTCTCACTTGTGGCTTTTCTCTATTTATTACATCCTGCATTGGTTGATACAAATGGAATGAGGATTGGACACACAATAAGAGGCCAATTTTGTTTTTGGTTGTACATTTTTCTCCCATGTTTTCTGTTGGTCTCCGTAATTAACTCAGTGAGTTCTTTCTAAGAAGGGCTTGGAAAAAGAAAATGAAATACGAACAACAGCGCTGGTCGTAATAGATCGATTTTCATGTTAGTTCTTGCTCCAGCTTTGGTCTCTGGTTTGATGGTTGCACGTCCTAAAAATCCGGTACATTCCGATCACTTTCAGAGAATCTGTCCAGCTTGAGGAATAGGAGTTGAATGTTGTTATGCCAGGGCACTCCAATGATTGATTGTGCAGCTCTCTTCGATTAGCGACTAAGATAAAAAGGGCACACGGACCGTACTCGATTGAAGAGCCAACCCCCTAGGCTATGGATTGTTTTTTTTTTTTTTCTGAACTTTAGGCTATGGATTGTTGGAATGGCAAAATAGTATTGTATCCGAGGAATCCGAGGAATTTGAATCAAAGGTCACAAAAAATATGCTCCGGAAATTCTGGTATGTTTCAAGACTTTTCTTGCATTACATTAACATTTCACTGTATGCTTTAATTAGAATTTTTGGGAATTGCACTAAAAGTGCTATAACCATAGTTTTTTCAATATTCTCCTATTAGAAAACCTTTGGTACTATTTGATAATAATTTTTAAATTAATTTAATACATCAATATAACTATTAAAGTAGAACCTAACTTTTCGGGTCAAGTGGTTCTAGTCACGTTTGTAAGGTTCATATTTCCCTTCTTAAAAACAACGGTTCGAGCCGGTCCCATGACAAAAATGTTCAAATATATATATATATATATATATAACTATTAAAGTAAACAAAATATCAATTAAAATTAATTTAAACATAATAAATTATTATATTTTAAACAAAGTGCTATAACTCCGTGAGTCCGTGTCTCATTTATCAGTTATCCACAAATTATGGGCATCTTACGGCCCCATTGTGACCCAATTGTTGTGTCTCTTCACTTTCACTAATGTGTTGGGTTGGGCTTATCACAGACCCGACCATATTATACTGCATCAAAACAAAACCGCTGGCCTACCTGGACTGGAAACATCACCCTCACCTTCATCATGAATCCGCTCCGTTTATCGCTTTCTAGTTTCTATTCAAATTTCGAAAGGAAATGTTTTTGTCTTTTGGGATAAAAGGACAGCGAGAACCCTCCAAATAGAACGATGCCATCTTCATCCTCATCATCGTTCATTGTCCTCATCCTCCAAATTTCACATGTATCTCTTGTTCATCTTCCATAAAGACAAATATACAAGTTATCATTTTTAGCTAAACAACAATAGTATGAGCCCTCTCTGTCTAAGTGTCTGTAGTACAATTTAATATAATTTAAATTATAAAATATTTTTTTAAAATAACAAATATATATGATATTATTATTATTGGTTCTGTTTCAAGATTTGACAGTCACTCGAGATGGGGGGAAAGAATCAATAAGGAGAATTAACCATTTGGTAAGAAAGGTTGCGAGTTGCTAGATATGAAATATTGATTATAAATTCATATGCTGAGGCAGAAAGAGCAAGCCCACTTATAAGACTAGGCATGATAAATACTTTTGGACTTTATCTTTGGCAAAGTGAGGATCGCCCGCGAGGGCTTTACAATAAAGTTGTTAAGTAAGGGAAGATTGGGATATTACAAATTGACAGGATTTAGAAAAGAGCAAAGATTCCTACAAAATAAAAGTCCAAGAAGGTAATCCCCTAGAACTAGAATTTGTCTTTGAGTAGGGCCAAATTTGCTTTTGCTTTTTGAAATTCTGTCATACTGTGTTTAACCATGCTCACTTGCCTCCCTTTTTTCTTGCATTTATTGTCAGAAATTATTGAGTTAAATTTTACATAATTTAAACTAATTCCTCTTCAAAAATCAAGACAATACATACTTAGCAATACCTCCAACTACTGGGTTGTTATTTGTCTCCCTTCTGTTGAAACTAGAATGTGATAGTTTTTGGTTTAAAGCCAAAAACTATGGTCCCTCTACTTTGTAATTTCATGTGTTAACATCCCTCTATTTGGGAATAGTTCATTGGGGTCCTTCTACTCTACTTGCATTAAAGGTTCATCTTGGGTCCCTCTATTGAAACGAAGCGTGTTGTTGGGCCTTAATTTTTAAGGTTTCATACATAAAAAAGAAAGAAAGAAAGAAAAAAAACATTATCTATCAAAGTAATTGATTATTGCCATGCAAATACTTGCTGGTTGGATGCATTATTATTCATTCACATGATATGGTCATGCGGATTAGGTATCACGATGCGTGGAAAAATAGTGAAGATGTTGCAATCAATATGAAATTTTGCTTCAAGATTAAATGCTTTGAGGTGATTGATTGTTGTGATAATACATATAAGTATAAAAAAAGATAACTATCACTTGTTATCATTTAAAATTATGAAACTAATAATAATTCCACAAGTAATTACATGTGGGGTGATCTACAAAGTTACGCGGAGCTTATTATTAAAAGGTTTTGTCTACTTTCATATTTTAAGAATATAAATTAATAGTATAATAAATAATTTTTTTAATAATTAATTTATATAAAAAAATTATAAAAATTTATATTTTTAACATTATTATTATGTCAATAGTTTAAATTGAATAATTAATTAAATCAATATTAAAATTTATATTTTTATATAAATTAATTATAAAAAATATAATAAATATATTTTTAACTTGCACTTTAAAAATAAAATAAATAAGAGGTAAAAAACACTCTTATTGAAAATATGACTAGTTTAATTCCTATTTTATTTATACATTAAAATATGTAATGTCTTATAGTTTTTATAATAAAATTTTTTATTTTGATAATAAAAATTATACTAAATATAAGTAAAATGGTTTTTTTTTTAGCCAACAATTAACATTGCTCCTAAATATAGAATTTTAGTATGTAAATATTTTTTATAATAATTTTGGAGAATTAATTTTTCTTTATTAAGACGAATTTTTTTAGGAAAGAAGCAACAGAAAATAAAGAAAAAGATAAGGGCTTACTGAAGTCGAAAATCCAAACCTTATATGAACGAATCAGAAATGGAAAACACTTAAATTATCCAATGAAAGAAAATTTGGAAAAGAAAATAGGGATTTTCTAAACCATCTTGAAGGGACAGGTTAAACTTATTTTTTTAATATAAATGTATAAAAAATATATCTAAAAATTAATATTAACTTTAATATTAAGTAAATTTAATTAAATAATTAATACATTAAAAATTTATTTTTATTTTTTATATAAATTTATAATAAAAAATATATTTAATACATCTTTAATTTATACTCAAAAAAATATAATTTAAATAAATTCAAAAAAAATCCTAATCATCGGACGGTGCACCTTCTATAATGAGGTAGACCCGCGTGGGTCCCAGATTTCTTCATCGGGATTCGCTACAGAAAAAAGAAGTCATCCATGTGGGCCTAAAACTGCGAAATCCCCCCGCCTCTTTGCCTGCTATCTTCCCTCGCACAGGCAGAATAAATACAGAGGCGACGTTTTCTCTGCTCTCTGACTGTTTGTTTCCTCTCTTTTTCTGGTGTTCTGAAGCAAACAAAATGCTTTTTTCAGTCTTTATTTCCGATTTCAAGAAACTCTGATTTCTTCTTTTCTCTGGCGAATTTTTTTCTTGATTTCTGTGGCCGTAATTCTTTGCTTTGCTTTTAATCTACGTCGTCGGTTGTTCGGGATTTTCGCTGAGTCGATTGCCTCTGCGTCAAATCTTTCATCGGGATCCGTGAGTTCTCGAGTAATGTCGCTGTCCTGAACTTGCATTGCCTCGGTTTCTCGCTGGTGGTAAGCTATTTTCTCTTGTAGAAATTTAGTGATGATCTTGGATCGTATCGTTCGGATAAGCTTCTTTTAAAAAAAAAAATTTAATTTTTCCTGGTAAATTTCCTTACTGATTAATTATTGCTTCATTTTTTTTCTGAGAATGAGGAAAGAAAATTTTTATTCACGCTTTTTTTTTTTTTTTAAGCTGCTATGAGTAACCGAAATCCAGAATTTTTGCTTTATAAATGTTATTTCATTGTACAAATTACAACCTAAAGTTTTAAATTACATTCTTATTTTCACTTGCATTTTCTTCAGTTTTTTTTTTTTTCCCTTTTAATTCGGCCTACAACGATGCCGAATCTGATAATGTGGTTAAGCTGTGTGTAAGATCTGTGCGGTTATTTTTATATTGGAATGGAGTTGGAGCTTTAAGATGTATGGGGCAAATGGATCATTGGAGAGGCCGAAAGAGAAACTATGGCAGAGAATGACCTATGGATTAATTGATTGAGTGTTGGTTTTTAGCTGGTTTTTAATTTACATAAGGAAATAAGGAATTCACCTCCGTTGCTTCTACTGTCCATTTTCTGTGCTGAAAATCTGATACATGCTTCTTTTAAAATATGATTTTGGATGGTAATGCCGAGTTTGACAGTATGTAATACAAATCAAAAGGCATATGAAACAATCGTTTTCCAATTTTAGCTTCACTGTTATTTTGTAATATAACTTCATTTTTCTGCACTAAAACATTTCATTTTACTATAAAGGTCTCCGGCAATGGCGCATTGTTGGTAGCGATGATAGACCAGGATTGATTATTTTGTATAAAGGTTTTGCTCAATTTGGGGCTACAAGGGAATCCCTTCATGTAATTTTGGTCTTAATTAGATTTCATGTGAGAACTCGTCAATCAAGTTAATATTTACAATGAAGAATGATCTTGTATTTAAACTTTATGTTGAATGTAGTTCAATTGTGATTCACGCACAGAGCGGGTCGTTTCAATCCATTTTCTAATGGCTTCTTCTCTAATGGCTTTGGAATTTATGTGCATGAGGTTAAAGTTTGCCTTTTTTCTTTTTGATGAAGAAGTTCTCACCATGATTAATGCCTGCTGTGTTGGAATTCTTAATTTAAATCCTTAATGCTTGCTGTTTTTGCCTATTTCTTCTTGATTTGTTTATTTAAATTTTGGGACCTCTTCTCCAGAGTATTAGGATTTGGGCCTATATGACTGTGGAATGGACCACAGTTGAAGAATATCGTGGATCATTTTCTTTGTGCCCTTGAAGTACGACAAGATCTAATTGATGCCATCCAATAGAAGAACAAGCAATGAATACTTTGAACCTGAACCTTCTAGGAACATGGGAAGTTTAGAGGCAAAAAATGGTTTGAAAAGGCAGCAAAATTCAAGGATAGTGAAGGAATTTGTTCAATTGCCCCAAGGAAATAAAGGAAATGTACAGGGAACGGTAAAAGCTTCAGGGGATTGCCCAAGGCAGTGTGTGACGAGGACAGCAGCAAAGAACGATGAGCTTGTCAAACATATGTCAAATTTGCCAAGTTACCTACTGCGTGCAGGGAAACAGGAAAACATTCAAGAGAAAGCATTAAATGTTGGAGTTCTCGACTGGGGACGTCTACAAAACTGGAAGCACAGGCAAAATGGCAGTCCGACAGGAGGTGGCAGTAATTTATCATCCAAAAGCAGTTCCCTATCGCAGAAAACAACTGCCAAGTCATTTTCCCTTCCTAACACAGTTCCTGCGGATGCTCAAGCTAATAAAAGGAAGCAGCTTGAATTGAGGAAGAAAGGGTTGCAGCACTTAGAAACTGATGAGAAAAGAAGTGGTTCTTTATGGCTGAGAACATCTGCCCTTCCTATCACAGTTCCTGAGGATACTCTTTCTGATAAAAGTAAAGAACTTGAAATGAGGAAGAAAGAGATGCAGAACTCTGATGATTCTAAACATCTTTCTGGTGAGCTTAAGAATATGGCTCTTCTCTTCCCCAAAAGATCTGCACAATATAGCAGCACCCTTGAGAAACCTCCGGAGTTATTGGATAAGAATTTGATCAAAGTAAAGTCTCCAGATGACTTCATTCAGAAGTCTGAGAAACCACATTCTCAAATTCCCCACTCTTGTCCACTACCTTCAAGATTTGAGTGTGATTCAGAGACAGATTTGATGGCAGAGGGTTTGGAGCTTTTATCTGATGCATCTCTTTCATCCTTTAATTCAAATAACAAAGGTCACATACTCTTGCTAAGTGAGTGCAAAGAACAGAAGAAGGTTGAGTCTGAGACTGCAAGTAATGAAACCTTGGAGATGCTCGATCAAGAGATGGCAGAACTAGCAAACTTTAAAAGCAGAAGAAATCAGTCATCACATCGCCGTTTTAGTTTCAGTTTTAGTCAGATGGGTAGAAGTTTCAGTTTTAAGGAAGGGCCAGTTGTCCAGAAATTGAGCTCCTATGTTTCTGTGAAGTCTGGTCCAGTGAAATCTGAGGCCGCTGTTTGTTTGGATGATTCAAGCAGAGAGAAGGTGAAGTCTCAAAATGGAACTAGATCTAGCTCCTTAAGAAGGATGCTAGCCCCACTGCTGGGGCCCAAGAGCCTAAATTCCCTTGGTTGTACTGAAATTCTTCAACCGCTGGAAGGAAGCTTGAATTGCAGTGATTCCTGGCCAACTGCAAGCGATTCATTTAAGAAAGAAAAGCATGAGCTGTCAACAATCCAAGCGCTTATGCAGCTTACACTAAAGGATGGACTCCCTTCGTTTAAATTTGTGGTTGACAACAGCAGTAACATTCTTGTGGCAACCATGAAGATGTCATCATCTGGGGGTGGTGACATGGAACGGAATTATACATTCTACTCTGTGAATGAAATTAAGAAAAAGATTGGAGGCTGGCTAAGCCAAGGAAGCAAGGAGAGAAGTTGCAGCTATGCATATGATATTATTGGTGAAATGAAGATTTCTAGCTCCTATATGTCAAATGTGAAGGACTCCAACAATCAGAATCTAATCAGAGAGTCTGTTTTGTTTGGCGTTGATTATGGTCAAGCAAATCAAGCATCACAAAAGTTCACATGCAACATAGAGCTTGCAGCTGTTGTAGTTAAAATGCCAAAGGAAGACTTCGTTCATGGTGTAAAAAAAAGTTGTAAAGACACAACTAAGAGGGGCTTCACAGAATCTTTGCAAAAGGATGGATGCTGTTTTAACTTCAATGAAAATGAAAGATCTAACAGTACTACTGTCATACTTCCAGGTGCCATTCACAGCTTGCCAAACCGAGGGTCACCATCCCCACTGATTCACCGATGGAGGTCTGGTGGATCATGTGACTGTGGAGGTTGGGACGTTGGCTGCAAGTTACGTATCCTATCCAATCAGAATGGCAGTTCTAATAGTCAAATGACATGTCAAGCATGTCTAAATCCCAACTGTGTTGAACTTTTTGTTCAGGTACTATTTTCTGTATCTACTGACCACAGGGTTCAACTGCTAGTATAATTTTGTAACTGATTTATTTCTTTCTTTTTCTTTTTCTTTTTTCCTTGTACTTAATGCAGGATGAAACTCAACAGATTAGGCCTGTCTTCAGTTTGGCTCCACATAAGCATGGATTATACACAATCCAATTTGATCCGACAATCTCTGCATTGCAAGCCTTCTTTATTTCTGTGACAGTTATATGCTGTCAAAAATCATCCATTCTCTTGGAAGTGAATGAGCTGTCCAGTGAAAAAGTTTTTGAAGAGTCAGCACTGAAGGGAAGTGATGGAATGGGAAAAAAATCCACCACACTCCTGGGGAAAATGCCCACAAAATATGCTCCAAACCCACCGCTCTCCCCCTTTGGAAGAGTATAGTCTCAAAGTGGGCGTTGCTTTGCCTTCCAGGTAAGTTTCAACTCCTTGAAAAGGCACATCATGTGTTTATAGTCAAGCTTTTATATATTTGATGTGGTAGAAGGCAATGCTTGACCATTGTAATTATGGTATTAGTTACTTAACAATACCGACATTTAGCATGTATAAAGAGAATAACACCATGCAATATACCGCTCATTAAGTGAAGAGGTCAGAAGTTTTTTGTAGCACATATACAAGTCAGTTTTTGTGGTATTGATTTGGTCATCCTGAATGGCAAAAGCTATTCTGTTTGTCATTTGCAATCGTCGTTTCTCCTTTTTCTGGTGATACGCCAAGTCAAAATCCTACATTGCACTCATCTTTTTCCAACTTCTTCTTTTTTTTTTTAATTACATCTAATGAGTTATACTTAAGAGATAGCTCTTCCCTTTTTCCAAATCTCTCTCCGCTTAACTCAAAGGCTCTTAACCAATTGAGCCTGGGGGTTTCGAGCTACGTTGATGTTAAGATTACGTCGTGTCTTCTCTGGGTGCATTAATTCACCAGGGTGAGGAAGCTGACCCGGAGAATGCGTCTCTATCGTGGGCTGGGCTCAATTAATGAAATTAAGGTGAGTTATGGGCTTGATTGCAAGCAGGAATCTAGATAGCAACTTAATTAGACTCGTTTTACTTTTGGGTAAGAACTGAATTGGACTCATTTGATTTGATTTTCTTCGAATCGAAGCATCTTTTTCCTTCTAGAGAGTGACAGAACAAAGAATCTCTAGAATAATTTTAGCTTAGCATTTACTATACTCTATTTTTCTTAGCAATTAATTGATATTTGCGTTATCACCAAGACACTGAAAAATGTGCCTTATTGTGTCTCCTTCCCAATTCTTAACAATTAAAAGCTTTTGATAAGTTATATTTTTTTTTTTTGGGGTGTTCACATGGCATCCTTTTATTATTATTATTATTATTATTTTCACAAGAACAATAGTTAAAAAGTTAGTATGAGTTAGTTGTTAGCAATTGGAATCTCTCAAATCGGGTGAACATTTCACCCTTTCAAATGAGGCACGCGGCTATCAGATCACTTTTTGGTGAAGTTCATGACGGTAGTAGAGTTTGAAACTTTAACCACCGTCTTACCCAAGCCCCCAGGCTTGGGGACGAACCATTGTGCCACAAGCCCAGTTCTTTTATCATTCTTATTTGATGTGCACGTAGCATCCTTAGCCAAAATAGAAAATATAAATTATATGAAAAATGATTTTAAGAAGTCAATTTCATAATATAAAATTTAGAAATGGTCCCTTCAAATTTCAAAAGAAATGATAGCTTGAAATAATATGTGAAATGGTTGCTTGTAAAGATGTCAGATGTAATAGAACATGCATATTTGCAAAGGAAGCGTAATGTGACAGATGCAGAATCCTGGACCAAATTTGAAGCCAAGTTTCTGATATTTTTTGGACCAAGTCGTGAACGCCATGCGAAGGAGAATCTTTTATATATTTCTTCGGATCAAGTTTTCAAAATTTAAACCTACTCATATATATTTATCCAAAAAAAAAAAAAGGTTTTTAACACAGACTGTACAATACATTAGAAATGTTTCACACAATAAAATTAATAAAATATTTCTAATGAAGCTTTTTCCAATGTTAGTTCATGTAAATATCTAATTTGTTCGTACCGCAATTTTTTTAACATGTTAAAATATGCATTAAAAGGTAGATTTGAATCAATGTCTTAGTCTTAGCACATGCACCTTCTAACTTTCTGGACTGATGCATAGTTTGGTACTGCATTAGCACATGATATATTGGAAAAATTGATTAGGCACAACATCAAGGTACTGATGATTTGAGTTTCTTGCTTTCTCTCCATTTTTTCACAAAGACAAAAGCGTTAGTTTTCCCAGAGAATTGACGCAGTAAAGCACATTGTCATGTAAAAAATATTTGACATAATTTATTATCTTAAATTTTAAGTTTTAAGAAATTAACTTAAATTTAATTACTAGAGTTAATTTTTATTAAATTTTGAAAATGATAATTTAATCAAATTTAAAAATAATTATCAAATTTAAACTGCTGATTATCTAAATAATTCAATAATTATCTCCTTTCGCTGGAAATAAGAGATTCTGATTTTAAATCGTATGACATGTAGGTAAATGAATAAGATAAGGGATGAGAAATAATTACCTTTCATTGTGCAACTAAAATAAAAAAATATTAAATTTAAACTAAATTTTAAAAAATTAAAATTTAATATAATAAATTACTTTAATTTGTTTTTAAGTGATAATTTTACTTTCATATAATAATTTTAAAATCAATTTATACTTTTTAAAAAAATTAATTAAAAGTAAAATTTAAATTTTACATCTATCAAAAACTTAATATAAAACATCTTTTATAAAAAAAAAAAGATCAATAAACCGTAAGGACATTTTCATTTATCCCTTCCTAAATCCACAAAGAAAAAAAAAAAAAAAAAAAAAAAAGAGAATACATAAAATGAGACCATTTTTCCAATGAGCGTGGGCCGCTCTGGTGCATGATTTATAATTAAGACCGGTCATGTACGATCACCCCTCATCCGCTCAAATCCCGTAATTCGATGAAATCGTGTGGCTATGATCCGAATACAGAGAATCCATCAATTTCCAAACTGAACCCTGACATTCAGTTAGGTGCTTGAAAGCTGCCTCTCAATGCGCATTATGCTTCGTGCCACTTAACCAAAAGTGAGAAAGAATAGTTTCGTCTCACTTTTACAGCAACTTCCATTTTATTACCACGATTTTTTTTTTTTTTGTTTTTTTGAAAAATTTAGGGTGTTCAGTTAAGGGTTGTTGATTATGTACTATAAAGGTGAAAAATAAAAATATAATAAATATTTTTTTAAAATTAATTTTTGTTAAAAGTATAAATATTAATTTTAATTAATTAATTAATTAAAGTTATTCATATATTAGTAATATTAAAAAATATATTAATTTTTATAATTTTTTATGTGATTTAATTAAAAAATATCTTTATTATACTATTAACTTATATTCTTAATATACAAATCAAATAAAAATTTTAATTAATAATTTGAGATTCTGAAATTTTTTAATTTTAAATTACATAATAAAAAATAATTTTTTCTCATTTTATAATTTACTCTATACACATATCATATAATTTAAATTTAAATTTTTTTATTTTTACTGTATAAAATTATTATTAAATTACTTAAATAGTTAACTTGACACTTCAAATTTAAAATTTAAAATCTTAATATTCAATTTATTAAAAGGGGTTTTAACTTATGAGTATGGTCACTTGATACATAGCTGGTTGGTTGGAGACTTAAGAGTAATATGTGTATTTACTAGTAAAACTTGGTAAGAACTAAAAATTATAAAAGCTTAATGGTTTAATGGTAATTTTTTTTCGTTAAAAAAATAAAAAATCTTGAGTTTATGACACATGGATGGAGTGGGATAAGAGATGAAAGATTGTTATCTTTCATTACGTAATCAAGATAAAGAAATTTAAAAAAAAAAACTAAAAATCAAAAAGATTGTACTAAAACCCAAGAAGAAGAAGAAAAAGAAAAAAAAAAAAAAAGATATAGCGTGAAATTAGGGAAGGAGAAAGTGGCTGGAGAAGGGCAGTTATGGGTAATCGTACGACCGTCTTGGACGTACTTTTATCAGCCAATGCCAAGTCGTTTTGTTTCTTTCGACTTTCGAGCGGATTTTGGAGTTGTTGATGTTCCCAAATGCCAAATGCCAAATGAGGAAAAAAAAAAAAAAAAAA